TGACTTGGTTAAATTACTTGATCATTCAGTGCCTCAGTTTCCTCATTTATAAAGAGGAGACAACAATATCTATCTTACAGGGAAGTTAGAAAGATTAATTAAATATAAAATGTTTATAATGTAGCTGGCACATAATACCTTCTATATAAGTGGTTGCTATTATTATGACAAAAACTAAGAAATTTAATTGAAAGATAAGAAAGATCTGAATAGAAATAGAGATAGACCATATCCATGGGAGGGATGATTCAATATCAGAAAGATGTTAATTTTCTCCTAGTCAATTACACACTCATTACACTTCCAATGAAAATCCAATAGGATTTTTAATGATATCTGAAAAACTGAAAATTTATATAGAAAAACAAAGGTCCACGCATAGCCAAGACAATTTTGAAGACAAGCAAAGACCATATCATTTAATCTACTTGATATAGAAAGACCAATGAAACAGAACAGAGAGACCAGAAATAGACCCACACATATACGGGAACTTGGTATGGAAGAGAAGTGGCATTAGGTTACAAATTAGTGGTTACAGGATGGATTATTCAATTAGTGATTTGGATATTGGGTCCTTCATATAGAACAGTGGTTCTCAACCTGTGGGTCGTGACCCACAAGAACTGTATTAAAGGGCCACGGCATTAGAAAGGTTGAGAGCCACTGATACAGAAAAAATGTATAATTAGACTCCTTCCTTACCTCAACAGAACACCATACTTGAATGAGCTAAAGGTCTGAACATGTGTCTTAGAATGTGAATGTAAAGGAAGGGCGTTCTATAGATGATCTTTATAACGCAGAGGGGAGAGAAGTGTTGATCAAACAAGAGGTGTGAGTAAAAGGCAAAATACGGAAAAGGGAAATATCGATACACTTCCTACATCAAAATTACCAACTTTCCTAGGACAAAAGCACCACAAGTTAAGGGAAAACCAACAAATCAGAAGAGAACTGATTTGCTATGCACATAGGCAGGGGATGAAGAGTACGATTACATAAACACTCCAAGACACTAGTAAGAAGAGCCAAACCACCAATGGAGGCAATGGGAAAAAACAGGCGATTCATGGAAGAGGAAATTCAAATGGCCAGGTGGAAGGATTTCCACCCACACTGGGAATCAGGAAATACGAATTAGGCAATTGTCACATATCAGCTAGCACATTTGAATTCCCACGTGAATTCAATCTATTCCAAGTGTCACTGAGAATGTGATAGACTGCTGCAGGAGTGGAAATGGTTTGGCAACAAGCAGGAAGTATGTACATACGCCAGTGTGTATGCCCCAGAAAGAATGTTTCAGCATGACCCAGTCGTCTCCCTGCCACTTGTGCATTCTAGGAAACCCTTACACTTGGGTCTAGGAAACTAGGTAAAAGGGTGTCACCACAGTATTATTTGAAATCCCCAAAGGTTGGAATCAACCTAGATATCCTTCCAGGTGGGTGGGGATAGGGTGGGAGAAACAATAAATTAGCTGCAGTCAATGCTTTGCAGGTGAATGTTTTACCACCTGCTTTCTAGGGGAATAAAAGCCTTAATTTGTAGCATTTTCTGTAAAACTGCCACTTAAGTCAGGAAAGAGGGCACTGCCAACCTCTCAAGCTTCCCCTCACTCGACCCAACTCAGGAAAGAGGGCACTGCCAACCTCTCAAGCTTCACCTCACTCTACCCACTTTTGGTATTATGGACTGAATTGATCCCCAGAATTCATGTGCTGAAGCCTACCCCCAGTGTGATGGTTTTAGGAGGTGGGGTCCTTGGGAAGTGAGTAGGTCATGAGGGTAGAACCCTGTAATGGGGACTAGTGCCCTTATAGAAAGAGACTCCAAGAACTTGCTTCCTCTCCTCGACCCCCATAATGTGAGGACACAGTAAGAAGACATCTGTCTGCAAATCAAGAAGTGGGCCCATACTAGACACCAGCTCTGCTGGCACCGTGAACTTGGACATCACAGCCTCCAGGATTGTAAGGAATAAGTGACTGTGGCTTATGACATCCAGACTACAGTATTTTTGTTAAGACATCACCCCAAAGTAAGCCACTTCTTGACTTCCAACACTGCGGTTTTACTAACGTCGAGACTTTCTGTATAGAATCACAACACAGGAATGTTTCTGTATCTGCTCGCTTTTGCTCATCATTACATTTCTGATATTTACTCATAATTATTCACATACACACACATATATATGTAGCGTGTAATTTATTCATTTTTTGTTGTTGTAGGTCCCATTATGGGATCCACTGCAACTCACCTTACTGTCTATGGCAGCGGTTCTCAACCGACTGCCTGTCGCGACCCAGAGGAACTGTATTACATCCTTGAACATCTGCACTTTCTGAGCAGAGCAGACCCTTCCAAAGTCCATGCGTCGGCATACACCGGTTACCCCACCTGGAACACTGTCCCTGTGTCTCACCTCTTCTTCATTTGGAAATAGTTTAAATGTCAAGATTTATGGTGACTCTGGTGGCAGCCAGCATTCATTGAATGGCCACAGGGGAGGTCACCACTGTTGGGTGCAGGGATGCATGCGGAGGTCCTATGTAAAGATGAAGCAGTGATTGTGTGACTGAATGGCCGTGGGCAGGAGGTTGAGGGAGGGGCCTTGGCTCTGATTGGGGGTGGAAGTATTGAGGAGAATGGAGGATACAGTCCAGAAGAGTTGGAGGACACTGCTCTGGGGTCCCCAGCTTGGCTCAGAAGCTAGTGAAAGTATAGATGGCTATGCCGCACCAGGGTAGGGCCATTTTCGCTGTTGTCCAGGGCATCTGGCAGATGAGTTGATGCCAGCATGGTGTGGGTATTTTGGCAGAACTAGCAGATGGAGAGGATGGGGGAGGAGATGTCCCCAAGATCCATGAGGAAGGGTGAGGGGCATGCAGGAGGGTAAGGAGCAGCATGGTGATACCAATACAGCTTCAAAGGGGCCATGCCAATACCAAGCATGTGAGGCCACTCCTGCCATCGTGTCCATGTCACAGGTGAGGTTGTACTTGCCCTGCACAGGGTCAGGACTTGGACCCAGCCTGTCTTCAAGTGTCTGAGGCTGAGCTGTTTTTCTCTCCTGAGCTAGAGAGGTGAGGAAGGTATGGACAGAGTGAACTGCTGGGTTAAGACGTGAGGTGTGAGGCATGTGAGCAGACCAAGTGAGAAGGAGAGGAGAGCATGCCAGGAAGATGGGGAGAGGGCTGATGTGGGTGTCAGTCATCTTCCTATGAGGTAGAAAGTGAGTGACACCCCACAAGCACATCCTGAGGGCCCCCGGCATTTACCTTTGAATGGGACGTACACACCTGTGCATTGTTGGCTTGTTCCACAGAGAAAAGGCTAAGTTTGGGACAGGTCAGGGCCCTTGTCCTGGGCTACTGAGCAAGCAGGTGCTGGCAGAGCCCCAAGCCTCCCAGATCCAGCCCTTTCTATTACACCCTGCAGGGTATTGGCAGGGTTGGTGGGGTAAGCTTTCCCCTCCTTATACATCCATTCTGGGCTTTTCTGTGGAATGAAATCCAGCTCTAATGACAAAACTCCCTCCCACTTCCCAGCAACACACCTAAGGGGACATCCATGTCTGCCTTCCCCAGTCCTTCCCATAACCCCATCTTCCCTGCCCCAGCACCATCTGGACTCTTCTGCTTCCATTGCAGGGTGTGGGCCTGCCTGGAGTTCCCCAGAAACCAGCTGAGGGAAGTGGAGAGCACTATAGAACTGCAGAACTGATGAGCCCCTTTAACATTTTGGACCCAAAGACTAATGTCCAGTGACACCCTCCTTGTACTTATGCACTCCCAAGGCAAGCTCCAGCCTTCCTCCACCCCCTCCCAAGGAGGTTTGGCTGAGCACCTGGGAAGGCTTGATGGTCCTCCACCAATGCCTCTGAAGTACTTACTGGGGCCTTGCTCCATGTTTGGGACAGGAGATTCACGAGGCAAGGGGGTGTCTTAGAGGAGGTGACAGCTTGACCAAAGTGGCAGCTAATATATTTTGAGGGCCCACTATGTGCCTAGTAGTTGGGTATGATTTGGGGCAAGCTGATGAGAAGGGAGGGGAGCATAAGGGAGGGTTTGGAAGAAAGATTATTTCCTGCTGGGCAGAAGTAGCCCTGGGCTGAGGGGAAGGAGGTTGCTTGTAGCTTGGCTTTGGATGTACCCAGCACTGTGTTCCTATAACTTTGTGTCACCTGTAAGTGGAGAGGTGGGCGCGAGGAGAGATCCTGGAGCTGTGCCACCTCACCTGCAGCTCTTTCATCCAGTTCTGCCTTTAGGGTGCTGACCGCCACACCCCACCCTCCAGCTTCTACACCAGGACCCCCCTTTGCATTCTGGAGAGCTCCAAGAACTCGCTCAGCCCACCCTCTTCTACTAATGAAGGGGTGTACTGTCCCTCCTCCCCTCCCCCGCCCCCAAGTCTCCCATTCTCCAGGAGTGCCCCAGTCAGCTGCTCTCCCACCCCTCCCAGTCCCTTTTGGTCGCTGCCTTTGGTATGCCTCCTCCCCCATTTCTTGCACCCCCCGACCCCCATTGCCCATCTCTTCCATAATTGGAGCACCTAGGCACCCAAGGTACCCTCCCCCTGAAGCTTAGTTGAGTACCCCTCCCCCAAGGCGCACCCAGGCACCAAAGGTGCCCACCGTGAGGCCCTGAGCACCGCGGCGAGGCCTCTGCTGGGGCTCCGGCTCCACCCGCAGGGTGGCTCCGAGGCGGCCGCGGGCCGCGGGGGCGGAGGAGCGGGCGGCGCG